GATTCCAACTCAAAAAAAAAAAAAGAAAGTAATACCATTTAAAAATCTGTATAATACATTTTTTTTGCAGCTTGCTTTAGGGATCTTCCTTTCACAACTACATTGCATTCTGCCATATTATGTTTTACATTCCAAATCCTTGCCATGGATAATCCTTGTAACTACATTACAAATGAATTAATTTCACTTACTCCATAATATATGTTGAGTGCATACCAGGCAGTGGGCTAGGTGCTGGGGATACAGTGGTTAACAGGAAGCACAGTATCTGTCTTTGTGGAGTTTTCTGATCTAATAGAAAGGGGAAGACAATTAAAACAAGAATTAAATGAAATGTGTTTAGATTAGAGTAAAGAAATGTAGCATGTTTTTAGTACACATACAGAAGAACCTAACCTAGAGGAAATAACATTATTGTAAGAGTAATGAAAAGCTATTGAAGAGCTTTATGCTTAATTATGAATATATGGATTCTGTATAGAGTGAATTGTATAAGGGCAAGCCTGAAGAAGTATGGGACTAGATGTTTGGCTTTTATTTTCCAGCAAAGTGATGACAGTGCTCAGGAACAGTATAAAAAAATTGAGAACATTGACTGAACTGTTAATAAGATAGGAAGGGGAATAAGAAAAAAAGGAAAATCAAAGACAACTGTTATATAGGTTTATATTTAATCTGTTGAAATCATCTGGCAGTTAATTCTAAACAATGATGAAAATTGAAAGTTTAGATAGATGTGTAGGTGCCATTGTTTTTCTTATTTTTTAAATAATTTATACATTTACATAGTTTTCACCCAGAAGAAAATTACTAAAGTAATATGCAGGCTAGAGACTGACTTTTAAAACTGGCTCTTATTTAATATTTAGTGCAAGCAAATGAATTAGTACCATATTAGCACAGTAATTGTGATTAAAAACTTTAATTCTTTTGCAAGAAAAGCAGTTTTGGATTAAAGTATGGTACTTAAATATGATTTCAAAATTTCTGAAAAACAAAGATCTTGATGATGGGGGAATACTGTACACACCTGTTGGGTGGATGTTGATTGCTTTTGAGAGTTTCAGATTAATGAGAGATGCTCAGTGTTATAAAGAATACACTGACTGCAAAGCTCTTAATTCTGATTTACAGGCTTATCACTATTAATCACCTAACTATGAATAATCTTATATCCTTTATACCATGTTCTTTGTCTTTCACTTTTTTAATTACTAGGATAATTCATTTACTTATTCATTACTTTGTTGCAGCCTTGGCTTGCAAGTCTCAAAAGCAATTGAGACAAGTTACAATGATGCATTAAGTTCAGCAGGATTAAAAATAAAATATGGAAAGAATTAAGAAGAATAAAAAATAGAGCAAAAAAAGCACGAATTCATACATATATTTTATATTAGTCTTGTAAAGTTAATATATTAAGCTGAACTTTAGCTCTGAGTTTTCTAGAGTCAATGAAGAGAATAGCATGCTCTATTATAAGATATTCATTTTGTGTGTATATATATATATATATATATATATATATTTTTTTTTTTTTTTAAGAGACAAAGTCTTTCTGTTACCCAGGTTGGAGTGCAGTAGCATGATCACAGCTTACCACAGCCTTGGTCTTGTGGGCTCAGGCAATCTTTCCACCTCAGCCTCCTGGGTAACTGGGACTACAACCGTGTGACACCAAGTCTGGCTAATTTTTTTTTATGTCTTATAGAGACAAGTTCTTGCCATGTGGCCTAGGCTGATCTAGAACTCCCATTACCTAGGCTGGTCTAGAATTCCTGGGTTCAAGCAATCCTCTTGTATTGGCTTCCCAAAGTATTGGGATTATAGACATGAGTCACTACACCTCACCTAATATTCATATTTTAACAGAAAGGTCACATAGGAAAAGCTTTTACTGACATACTGAGACTTGAGAGAGAATTTTCCCATGGATTAAGATAAAAGAACTATTGTATATGACCTAGTTTAGACATTTTCTTTGTTACATCATACAAGCAATGAAAGAACAGGAAGCAGTCTGACTTTAGTTCTACCTATACCTAATTTGTTTAGTTTATGTACTTCATAGCTTTCCCACTTAAGTAGAATTGCATTTTAGTAATGAATCTAAGTATTCAAGTATTTAAAAGATTGACCCTCAAGACTAAAGGAAAACAACTTTGAAGGCACATAAAAAAATGTTTGTATGTTCTGTAAGTGAACTAAAACATACAGCTGAAAAGATGACCCTAATTATGGCATTACATTCGGTTTTCATTGTAAAGCAAACCTAGATTGCGTCAGAGCCTTGGAAAAGTCATGGGAACTATTTCAGAGGGAGATTACAAACTGTGTTTTCAGATAGGGGGAGAGAATGTTCGGGGGAAAAGCTCATGTAACCATGAGAAGGTGATTGCTTCTGTTGTGATCCTGATGACATTTAAACTAAGAAAACATCTTATCAGATTGGATAGTTTTCAGTTGTTTTTCTTTTCAATTTCTCTCTTTATTTATTTTACAGTGGATGGAACTGAGGTTCAACACTCTGGCAAAATGCCCACACTGCAAAAAAATGTAAGTTCTCTACCACTGGAAATACTATTGAGGAGTATCTCAGAACAAGTTAGAATTTAGAATTTTCACTTAAGTAGATTTTTAAGATATGCTATGGAAATGAATGCATGCTTAATGTATTTATGCTTTTTTAATAATAAAGGAGACAACTTTAATATATCCCACTTGAAAATTAGACTGGCTAGATTATCATTCACTAAAGGGAAATTCATTTCTAAGAAGTGAAATTGCACAATTATCAGTAACCTTAAAAAGATTTTCAAATGTCCCAAGAGGTTATACTCTATCACAAATAATCTAAAATTTATATTTATAAAATGAGCTATAATCTAGGAGAAAATCCAAATTGTTTTGGAATTCATAATTGGGTATTTGTTAGCCTTGTCTATCTCCTGCCTAGTAAGATTATTACTGATAGCAAAGTTTATATAATTATTCCTTTTTTTAAACTATTCAGTCTATTTCTCTCTATTTCTAAATGGTGTACCTAAGAAAAATAAGGCAATATAAAAATAAGAAACACTAGAAGATACTTTGCATAAAGACATTTTATGGCATCTGTATTGGGGATTCCAAAACCATGCCAAGATTCCTTGATTTTCTAGGAGGACTCATAGGAATTAGTATTTAGTTGTACTCACAGGTATGATGTATTACAGCAAAAAGTATATAAAACAACATCAGCAAAGGAAAAAAGTATATACAACGAAGTCTGGACAAGCTTCTAAGAGTTCTGTCCCAGTGGAACACTCTAGCAATGAATTGTTACCACATGTGTAAAATGTCTACCAGGCGAACTCAGTACCCAAGGTTTCTACTGGAGCTGGCCACACAGACATCTGCTTAGCGCATACCAAAATTCCAGATTCCTAGAATGAAAGCAAGTGTTAAAGCATAAGCCATATTGTTTACACAAACAATCTACACATAGTAAGCCACTCTTTTCAGTTAGGGAATGGTAAGGACTCCCCCAAAAATCTAAGTTCCCAGATGCCAGCTAAAGAAAAACCTTGCAAACAGGATAACAGTCTCAGACCTGCTATGTTAACTCTTTCCTTCACAGCATCTATTTTGATAATAAATGATTAAAAGTTATTCTCCCTTTATATTGATGAATTAATGTTTAGGCAAAGTAAATTAAACTGGAATGTTTTGAAAATTCAATTTTTATAACTGAAAATATGAGATCATACTTTAATTTGTGTGATCCTTAGTATGAAATAAATATCTTATCTACTTTGAAAGTTGAGAAATTCCAAGAATGGTATATAGGAGAAAATAATTCAAAAGTGTTTGAAAAGAGAGTCTATGTAACAAAACATCTCTATTTATCTCCTCTAGATCTGATTCCAGCTAAGTATAGCCCTGTCAGAAAAACTTCTTTACTGTATATTTAGCTTCTGAACAACAGATATTTTCTTTTTTATTTGTGAAATTAATCATTCAAATGTTTAACTTTATTTAATCCATTAGAAGTCTGTACATGTTATTTGGATAACTCCAAATAACTCCACAGAAAAATATATACGTATTTGATGGATACACCCACACTTCCCTCCAGACATATGTGAGCATACATGTGAATGATACATACTTCTGTGTATTTGCATTTTCACAAAAAAGAACAAAATTAAATTGCAAGTATCTTCACAGAGAACATCAAGTTGCATTTTAAAAATTTTATAGAAAATGAAAAGTAGAGCCATCTTGTGGTTAGCAGACTGTGCTAGGCAAAGTGAGAGTTGCTTTATATACATATATACACTAGCTGTAATATTTACAGCAAAACTGGAATGCAAAGATTATTATCTTCATTTTACAGATGAGAAACTGTTACAAGAGGCTAAGGATTTTGCTCAAGGGACTTGCTTGGTTAATTATTTAGTACAATGGCAATGTTTTTGCTAATAATAAAGACATTGTTTAGATACTCCGTGATTTCTTGAAATATCACAAGATAGTGTATTTATATGAATAAGAATTTGTCTCAACTACTTTGAGAACACCATACATAGAGATACACATGGAATTAATCAGTTTAAACATTATTCTAAGGGAAATTTTTGTAGAATTGGAGTCACATGCTAAACATGGGAGGGTTCGGGGCATTCATTATTTGAGCACAGATATTGTTATCACATGAGGACTCAGAGCTGCTATCTAGATTTCTTTTTGAATGAGTTTCTTCATAACAAGATGATGGGTTACCTGTCAGAATAAGATTATAATTTTATTTCTTTAAACACAAATATCTAAAAATTATTTTTAAGTCACAGGAGTTACTAAGTTACTATGAAATGAATATGCCCTGTGTTTATCTCATAAAATTTGTAGGGAAAGCTTCCTCAGCTCTCCAAAGACCAAGGGTCATTTTCTCATATCACTGTTTCTTACTCATGTGGTACTTGGGACTATTGTAGCTGGAGGTGATGCTTTTCTTTTCATTGGGCAGCTATGGCCACCACCAGAGTGGAGATGTAGTTCTAGCATTCTGAATTACAATTTGGATTATATTTTCATGCAAATGTTAAAATGGACCTAAGACTAGTAGAGACATTGATTTGATCCATGATAATTATTAAATATCATGTCTTTCACATCACCAATACACTACTTCTTTGTGAAATATCTCCTACCATTTAAAAACACAGACTTTTTGTCTATATTGTTATCCTTTTATTTTGCTGTTTAATGCTATCTTTTTATAATTACTCATTAATTCAAAAAACAGTTCCATGCTAGGTATTGATTGGGTGCTTGAAATAAAACACATAATCTTGCCTTTAAGAAACTTAGTTGTGTGGGCATAGTGGGGAGAATAGACAATTGCAGTAAAGTTTTTTTTTTTTTTTTAGTTGGAATCTCACTCTGTCACCCAGACTGGAGTGCAGTGGCACTGCAGCCTCAACCTGCTGGGCTCCGGCGATCCTTCTGCCTCAGCCTTCCAAGTAGTTGGAACTACAGGCACGCACTACCACGCCCGGCTAATTTTTTTTTATATTGTAGAGATGAGGTCTCACCAAGTTGCCCAGGCGGGTCTCGAACCCGCGGGCTCAGGCAATTCACTCATCTCGGCCTCCCAAAGCGCTGGAATTACAGGCTGAGCCACCGAGCCCGGCCTTACAGTAAAGTTTTTTGTTTTTTTTTTTTTTGAGTTGGAGTCTCACTCTGTTGCCCAAACTGGAGTGCAGTGGCCGCTCCCGGCCACCGCAGCCTCGACCTGCTGGGCTCCGGCGATCCTTCCGCCTCAGCCTTCCGAGTAGCCAGAATTACAGGCATGCGCTACCATGCCCAGCTGGTTTTTTTTTGATTTACTGTAGAGATGAGGTCTTGCTGCCCAGGCAGTTCTCAAACCCGCGTGCTCAGGCAATCCACTCACCTCAGCCTCCCAAAGGCGCAGGATTACAGGCTGAGCCACCGAACCCGGCTACAGTAGAGTTTTAAGTGCTGAAAGACATATGGCCAGAATGCTTTGCTCTGATGATGCCCTAATGCAGATTGGAGGGAAAGGGATCATGAAAGAAGGTTTTAAGGAGGGAGTGATATATAAACTAAGTTATGCAGGATGAGGGGGAATTATGTGAAAAAGAGGGTGGGATGGTCCAGTATAGAAAGAGCTACCTCTGCCAAGTAACAAAGGAGTCAGAGTATAGATGTGCAATAGGAAACGGGATAGATAGGACTGGATGTGAAAGGATAATAGAGAGAGAAAGAGAGATTGGGATCAAGGGTGACTTTATTCTGAGAGACTGCAGAACCATTCACTAAGTTAAGAAATATAAGATCTAGAAGAAATGTGTCTGGCAGAGGATAGTAAATTCATTTTGAATATTATAGATATAAAGAGAATCCTAGGTTTGCTAGGCTCACTAGGTTATCATTCCATCTATCTTCTTTTCAAACCTGCAATCTTGGATTAGTATGGCCATGACTTGATGAGCTGTTTACAAGTATATAGCTGTATGCTTTAGCTAAACTCTTTTGTTGTCTTTTGTAAGGGTCTATGATTAACTCCTTCCCTATTCCTTAAAATAGCTATCTCCAGATATTTACTGTTCCACTTAAACCCCCACCTCAGTATCTCTAACTCTCCCAGGTCTCAGCCAATGAGTTGCCTCCTATCTCTCTGAGATAAGTAAAACTGAACTCCTTCATCTTCATACTCTCTACCCATAAGTGTGTCTTTATCTATGCTCCCCTCATTTCCTCTTTTCAAAATTTCCCTTCATTCTTCTTTTCAAGTCTTGTACTTTCATCTAATTTGGTGGCACCCCTTTCCCTTTGGAGAAAAGTACAATTAGCCATCAGTCCCCAGGAGGCCACTGAATTTCCTTTGACAGAATTCACACCCCAATTGTAAATTCCAATCATTTGATCCACATCTTGCATGTTTTCTCTTTAGTATTTGGCTCTGCTAGTTACTGGATATGATGGTTAATTTTAGGTGTCAACTTGACTGGCTTAAGGAATATTATAGAAAATGGTAAAGCATTACTTCTGGATATGTCTGTGAGGGTGTTTCTAAAGGAGATAAATATGTGAATTGAGTGTGGAAGATCCATCCTCAACATGGATGAACACCATCCAATTCACTGGGGGCCTGCCTAGAAAAAAGGCAGAGGAAAGGTGATTTTCTCTCTCCTGGAATTTGGATACTCTTCTCCTGCCCTTGGACATCAGAACTCTAGGCTCTCTAACCTTTAGACTCTAGGACTTATATCAGTGGTTCCCTGGTTCCTCAGGTTTTCATCCTCAGACTGAGAATTACACCATTGGTTCCTTGCTTCTGAGGCTTTTGGACATGGGTGGAGCCATGAAACCAGTATCCCAGGGTTACCAGTTTACATTTTTATGTTTTTAAGTTTTATGGAACTTCTCAGCCTCCATAATTATGTTAGTCAATTCCTCCTAATCAATTACCTATCATTTGTCTGTCTGCCTGCCTGCCTGTCCGTCCGTCTGTCCATTCTTGTTGGTTCTGTCTCTCTGGAGAACCTTGA